AGTTTAATAATGTTGTATTTCTTGCATTATTAAGTCGTTATTAAGCATTATTTTTGATGTATCCAATTCAAAATCAAAAGTAATCAATTCAACTTTTGTAATATAAATGTAACATTATATATATGTGTGTGTATGTATTTATAATGTTGTTTATATATGTTATAAATGTAATATGTATAATAGTTCTCTACATATCAATATGATTTAATTTTCCTGTCATTTAAACAGATAATGGGGTTTCATTATTATATATAATTTGTATTTTAGAATTCCTAATAACTAATAAATATCTTTTACAGCTATTTGTCATTACAATTTTTAAAGAAATTCTTTAAAAAACATTTTATAGAAATTTGGATTTCTAGCTGATGGTGCAATATTCTAGATTTGTAAAATTGGGCTTATTATTGTGATTATTCTGTGCTTGCATGTATAGTATGGGATTATGTATATCATGTAATGTATATTATGCACATTTTTACTTGCAATTAAATGTACACAAACCGTCAATATATTATTTTATGTGTATATACAACACGTTTTACATGTTTATTAATCTGTGGTGGGAAAAATAAAGAGTGGAATTATGGAAAAATCAAATGCAAAACAAATGTAATGAGTGTTGTAGAACATGAAGTATAAAAATAATAAGAGGAAAACAATTTAGTAAAAAACAATTTTAGCTTTAATCATTTATAGGAAAATAAACAGACATCTTGTAGGTCTTTAACAAGCAAACTGGCCTCTTTTTTTTTAAAACAAAGTTTAAATTGCATATGTTCCATTTTACCAGGGAGGAATCACATAAACCGAACAAGCAAGTTTTCCTTCCTTGTCCACACACACATGGTAAACTTTTTTTTCTCTCTCCAATTGCTGGTATTTCAGGATAAATACTTAAAGGCAGTGACAAAATGCGTTTGTCAGTGGAAATGAGAATAAAAGACATTTGACCTCAATTTGAGGCTCTAAAACAAAGTACAGAAAAACAAAGGCATTCAAGGGAACCATCATAATTCAGACTATACCATAAGGAAGGCTGTTCAGTGTTTTATTGCTGATTCAATTTGAACTACATCGAGCCCCTTTTCCAAACAGGCTTAGTAACAAAGTACATGATGGTGCGACTGTGCGTCTTAATAATATAATACACGTCTCTAGAAAAACAAGACATCACTGGCGACACTGAGGTAGCGTAAACGTTACGAGGCGTAGCAGGGCAGGATCTCAGAGGCGTCTCCTAAACCCTTGACCTCGGTCATTTGCCAAAGTCCCAAGTTCAACACCTTAAGGCAGGGCAGCTGCGTGATTCTCTCTAGTCCCCTTTTGGTTATTTTGGTACAGCCGTACAGGTCGATCCCGGTCAGCTGCGTCAGATGATCCGCAATGAGCTCGAGGCCCTTGTCCGTGATCCGGACGCACTGGCCGATGTTCAACGTCTTCAGTTCGTGCATCTGCCGGACCATCCTGTTGATCCCGTCGTCGCTGATGTGGCACGAGCAAAGCGACAGGGATTTGAGCTGGTACAGGCCCTGCGCGATGTAGGCCAGGCTCTGGTCGCCCACTTTGTCGCAAAACGACACGTCCAGCCCGTACAGCCTCAAAGCGCCCATGGAAAGATGCATGATGCCTGTATCGCTGATGTTATCGCAGGAGCGCAAGTTAAGAGTCCAGAGTTGGGTCATGTGTGACAGGTGGATCATGCCGGCGTCGGAAATCCCGCCGCAGAAACTCAAGTTCAGGACTTTCAGCTTGTTGAGCCCCTTGGAAATGTGCTTGAGCGACAGATCGGTGAGTTTCTGACAGTCCTGCAAGGTGAGATGCTCCAAACTCAAGCATCCCTCCGCGGCGCTGCGCGTCATGCCGGCCAGGTGCCCGATGCCCACGTCCGAAACGTGCCGGCAGCTTCTCAAATTCAGGCTTTTGAGGTTATGAAGGCCCCACGCGACGAGCAACAACCCCGTGTTGGTGATGTTACTACACCCACCGAGATCCAACAGTTCCAAGTTCTTCAGATACTGCGCAATCCTGCCCAAGCTGGAATCGGTGATCTGTTTGCAAAGGCTGAGGTTGAGGATCCTCAATGAGGGGATGTCCTGCACGAAAGCATGACCGAGGCCGTTATCTGTTAGGTTGTAGCATCCACTCAGGTTAAGGCTCTCGATGTTGGGCATGCCCTGAATAACATAGCTGAGGCTGCGTCTCAGGCTGAGGATCTGGACTTTCTTGATCCCTCTGGTTTGGAGGCTGGGAAAGAGCGATGGGTTTGCTCTTCTCAGATGGAGTTTGGCTTCTACTCCCCTCCAGACTGATTTGTGGTACGAGGCGTCTCTCCATGCAGTGCACACTTGCGCGACTCTGCCTTTGCCTTTAACGTCCAGGTAGTTGAAAATCATCGCTAAGATCTCCGGGAAAAGGCTCGAGATGTGGATCTCCATTTCTAAGAGCAGCTCGTTAGCTTAGCGAAGTTAGTAGTCTGGAATTCTGCCGGCGAGGACCGCATGTAAAACAAAATACCGGGAGAAATGTCAGAACGAAGTAAACGTACAACAAAAATAAAAAACGACCGCGCTTTGTTGCATTTAAAACTTGGTGTGAGATTCATTCGCTTGGAATAACCAGCTTACGTCGGAGTAGACGCTGTATTTGGACCGCCAGGTCTTAGTAACGGCTGTTTCCAGATCGCGACACATGTTTAGTAAACATAAATGTAAATCCATGAAAAAGCTCGCCGAAAAGACTTTGAAAAACGAAACGTTTATGGTTGGAGAAAACAAACGATTTCGCATGAATACAAACCAGCCATTTGACGAAAACTATGGAGTCCGGTTTCCGGTAGCCTTTGTCTTCATCCTTTCAAAACGGGGAGGGTGACTATTCTCCGGACTGTTTTTATTGTATGAAAAACACCATACGTTTTTGTTTAAAATGTCTGAAGTGTATATAAAAAATTATTATTTTTCTTTAAAAACATTTACGGCATTGCATTTTCTCAAATTAATTCAAATTGTGTTTATTTAAACAACAACACCCCCATTCGTGATGGGATGTCCGACTCGTTTCAGCGAATCGGTTCTTTTGAGCAGTTTAAAAGAATTGGTTCACAAAACTGATAGAAGCTTTACGTCAAGGCGAAAAATACTTCCGTACGCGATCCTTTTAAAATGCACGTATTGTCTGACATTTTACATTCATAAAACATAAAAATCACATTTTGAATTCATTTTTATTAATAAAACCAGACATTCAGCTAATACAAAGCGATACAAAATAATTTACGTCTCATAGTTGAAAAGGTTACGACACATTTAGAAGATAAAATTCATAAATCTGTTTTGTGTGTTGATAAAACACAAAATTAGGTCCTCATATCTCATATTTAGGTACTAAAGTAACTTTGATTCAAATTCTCGTTTCACTCTAAATGCAAATGAGCTCATATATCGTTTTTCTGCTATTAGGATTTCAACGCGTCTCGGTTCAGTGAGTTGTTGGTTTATGAAGCGTTTCAACCATAGGCTGTAAAGAAATGGTTCAATTTATTTATTGAAAAGATTCGGTTCAAAAGAATGATTCATTCACGAATCAAACCTTGCTTCCGGCTCAACGTCACCGGACGTAAACAAATACAAGCTCCAGTTATCTCGTTTTTCACGCTTATTTCCTAGGCAAACCTGTTCATCTTATCGAAAGAGTGACTAAAGGAAATTATAACAAAATCTAGAAAGACAAACAATGATACATGAGCCTGACCCGTATAAAACCGAGCCATACTCTTGTACTTTGAAACAGTCATAAACATGAAGCATAAAAGTATTTTACTACAAATTCAGTCTTGTTGAGGTTGTCCACAGCAGCACACATGAAAGCTGATAGCAAATTCAGTATGAAACAAAGCACAGACTTCAAAAATGACAGTGCAAAGTATTAAAGTACCACTGTAAACCTTTCAAAATTCTAAAAATGTTCCTTGTGTAAAAATCTATGCTCAATTTCTTTCTATAAAACTACAGAGAAATTGATCAATTTATAAACTAAGTCAAAAAGCTTCCATACATAAACATAAGAGAACCAAAAATAACAACTCTTTACCTTATAATTTTTTATATATTCTATTCTAGAATATACATTTATCCAATTATGCCTACAGCTATTTAACCGAATAAATTAACTATTCAATTCTAAAGAAATCAGGCAATAGTCTTTTTAATTTAAGCAAATGTTATATAAAATTACCTTATAAAATAGCATATTATAGCCAATAAGAGAAATTTTCTATGCAGTCTCATCTAACACCATTTTTTCTGCATTTGTACTATTTTATCAACTAGCTAAAAGGGAGCTTTTGTAACATTCAATTAGCAAACCCTGTTTGCTCTCTGGCAGCTCATAATCATCACATAAAATAGCAACAAGCTTGAGAACGTACAATGTTCTGCACTGTATTGTCATTAGATATAGTCATTCTCACAAATTGAGAGACAAATTTCATTTTATAGCATTAAGAGTGCAGGTTAGATTGGCAATGATTTATAAGCACTAAATGTAGTTTTTAAAAGCCCTATGACAATAAATAGTGCATGAGATCAAGAGTGACAGTAATGGAAGAGATTTCTACATTTAGCGATACTGTCACCTTATAACACAATACGTTAATTGAAGCTCACTTTAGGTGCAGTCACATTTTGCGAACTAAAAAGGTCAATTGTCTATTGTCAATAATGTAAAGATGGATTCCTATTGAAATGACTGGATTTTGCTCGCGAAAATTCGCCAAACAACAGTAAATGTGACTGCAGCTTTAAACATAAAATGAGAGACAGTAAAATGCATATGAATTAAAATGGACACATTTCACGTCTATTATCGATGAAAAACTATGAAGAAAAATTCACAGGTTTAAAACATTATGAAAACAACTGCTTTAAATAAAGTCCTCTCCCATTTTTCCACAAAGCAGCCTCGGCTTTAGCGCAAAGCTGGAAAGGAATTCCAGTTTTAAAAATACATAACGTACAGAGCTACTTCACAAGTTCACAGAAAAAAAAAAAGTAGTAGTTTATAATCAATCATTTGAAATGGATTCTTCACAGCAATTAATTCCATCAGCTAGTTTTCCTGCTTGTTCCAAAAGAATCGGAGCGGCAGTGGGAAAAGTCGATGAAGATTCCGTCAGGATCCGATTCCAGTGAGTCCAGCCCCTGCATTACAATGGTCTCAGGACTGGAGGAGCAGCTCGGGGGTGACGGAAGGCCTTTGTCCACCTCGGATGAAGCCACCTGGGCGTCCGGTGCGTGCAGACACCCCGCGGAGGTGTGGATGAAGACGGGCGGAGAAATTAGAGCGGGCTGTCCCGTGGCCCCTCGCACCACACCGGACAGGGTGAGCTCGTGATCCAATGAGAGTCTGGGGGTCGAGCTGGTCTCTATTCCCACAGACAGGGCCGAATAGCCCTGGTGCTCTATGCAGGAAGTGACATCGCATGCGGAGTGGCGCCGGATGCCCACGCTGCCCACAGAGCTCACTTCGGAGTCGTACTCGGCCACGGGGGTCAGCATGGGGATGTTGTAACTCTTGGAGCGCACTACGGGGTTACTGGAGGGCAGGTCTGCAGACTTGGACCAGCAATACTGCAAACGCCTCTCTGGAAAGATTTTCAAGAAATTAGTAATGATATACTGCGTTTTTACAGTACCGTTTCTGACATACTTAAAATATAAGTGGCTGAATCGAGCAAATGTTTATGTGGAGAACATAATTGCAAGATCTTTAAAGGGACATTTCGTCTATTTATTAAATGCAAAATTAATGCAAGTTTTTTTAGCACATTTATCAAATTTGATATTACGTTTTCAATATGCTTTTGTTGTAATTCATGAGATTAATCACAATAATTGTATTCTACTGACAGCCCTAATTTTTAACTGTAATAAATATAGAAAAACACAATTTTGTGAAAACAATATTTATTTATAAGTGTTTATCTCTCCTTCTTTGAGACATACGTTATTACTTGAGAGACATAATTTGTATTTCTGTATTCTTTTTATGGAGTTTCTCCTAGCCACTGTTACCCATGATATTTATTGTGAAAAGCGATTTACAAATAATTGAATTCAAAATATTTATCTTAGGTTTATACAATGAACTTTATTCTATCAGTGTGTAGAAAAAAAGAAACAAATACAAAGTAAATCTATTCCAGATATTATTTTAAATTTAGCAAATGATATCAATCTTAATATTTTGAGCTTAATCTCACACAGTGTAAAGGAGTCATAATAAATGAAAACATCCACCTTTTTACCTAACATTTTTTTTATCTCTAAATATAATAAATTACATTTTAAAACATATTCAAATGGAAAATAATTATTTTAAATTACTGTATTTCGGATAAAAAATAATAATAAACACAGCCTTGCAAAAAAAATTCAGACTTGGTAAGCATTCAGAGACTTTCAAAAAAAATTCTTACTAAACCCAAACATTTGTGTGAACTATCCAGTGAAGTTCTTTACTGCAGAAAGAAACGAGACTAAATGTTGTGTCTGTAAAGCTGGTGTCTGTGCTCTCTCACCGATCACACATGAGCAGAGAGATGCGCCACACTCGTGTGAACACAGTCCCTGCGTGCTCAGGTACGGAGACACCACCTTCTGAATCAGAGACTCCAGCTTCAGGTATTCTTCACTCACACCTTTGGATTCATGAACCCCCTGTAAGACGTGAAGATGACATATTTAGGAGTTTCACTTTGACTATCCCTTTTACAGTCGTTCTAGTTGAGACACACAAGGCTTATGATTAATGTCTCGCTCTATATCACACAACTGCTTACGCCATCACAAATGACCTGTCTTGAAGTCACTATGCTATCATTTCTGGGTGCAGCTCATGACGGGATGGCTGGAACCTTCACGTTATCTAAGAGGATTGTGAAAAGGGTGTGCTTGCGGTTCATGTGTACCTGTAACACTAGTAGCATCTGGACGATGGAGGGAGGGACACGGGCTCGTGGTCTGGACAGAGCCTCCTCTAGCTTCACGTTAAGGGTGATGGTGTTACGAAAGTGCAGCAGGGCCAGCTGACGCACCGACGGCTCCTTCCCCTGAACATGAACATGCACACAGATTCACACACCACTGCTGTATCTGATGTCTAACAAGTTATTTCGCAGTATGACTAAACTGTACCTGTACTGGGTGGAAGATGGCTTGAAGCATATTGAGAACGTCGCAAAAGAAAAAGTCCCATGTCTCAGCCAAAGAGTCCAATAACTTCTGACCTATTTTCAGCGAGACGAGAAACAGATTGTGTTGCTTGTTGTGTACCAAGTGAAATGCTGTGTAATGTTGCAATTCTGTACATGTGTTTTGTTGTTAAAATGGGATGGTATACCTTCATAAAACCTTATTTTGTCCCGTAAAATGACCATGCCTTTTGTTAAAAGTTGATTCTGATAATGAGGGGAAAAAGGGAAGAAATAGTTTATAAAAAAAGGAGTATATATTAGAACAAACACATCTCTGGAAAAACTGATTTTTAAAAATATTTTCTCACCTGGAGGTATTCAGTAAAGAACGAGCCCAGCTCTGTTTTCAATAGCTGCCTGATAACAAATATATAATATCGTAAACAAGTTAACAAATGTTTCAGAAGAGAAATCATTCTTAAATATAATGTAAAGCAAATAAAGCTTTTGATTTAAATACACACTTAAGCCCGGGACACACTTACGAAAATTAATGTTGACAAATAAAAATATGACATGAAAAGTTACGAAAACATGAACGTATTACTAGGAAAAAAACATTACAACTTGCATCTGCACAAAAGGACACCAATAAGCATGTGACCTTGAGCATGCTAGTATTTTTTTTTTTTTTACAAAACTCTGGATGCACTTCCCTTAACAGCACGCTGATACACGGGCAACTAACATTTGAGTACTTCATCACTCTTGCCCATCCCTAGTATATATTATAATATATTTAGCATAAAAGTGCCTGTTTTTTTTGTAGTTTTTGCATTATTATAGGCATTATTTTAATCACAATTAAGCACATTTCCCCCAAATACTTATTAAAGAAATGCACAAAAAAACAACTTTATTTACACAATTATTTATACAACAAGGTAGTACCATTATCATTACGTTCTTTAACTTATGCTGTTTTAATTACAGTTTTTTTAATCTGTAATTGTAATTGGTGTCCAGACAAAAGGATTTCCATTAGTGCATTATACTGAGGTATATATGCATAAAAAATAATGAGAATCACAAACAAACCTAATAGTAAAACAATGCAGATGCATTACAGTAATGAGAATGAGGGGTGTTCTTATTTATGATATATAGAATAGTATCACAAATGTAATGCAAAATAATAATAATGGTACAAAAATAACCATGGATTCTGTTTACCCGTGGTTTAGAACGACCAAGGGTTTATTATTTAAAGGTTAAAAAGCCCTTTTATGTAAAATATAAATTCTTATTTTTTACTCTTGATTTTGGGGTGAAATATGATGTGGGTATGTTTTCCTTATTTGGGATGTTATTGCTTCACAATTTTTCTTGTAATAGTTACATAATATCGGACTGAGGCTCTGCGTCCTCTCACAACTGTTCTGATAATGTGAAGCCTCAGATCACAGCTGACAGTGTGTTAAAGTCTACATTTCACACACTGCTAACAGTTACCATTATAGCGAAATAAATAAAATACAAAAATGTATAAAAATTAACAAAAGACCCGTCTGCTGTTACAATACATACGATGTTGTTTTGCCTCACCTCACGCCTTCATTGAGCGTATAGAGTTCATTGTCGGCCAGTCCTTTCTTTTGGAATACAGCAATAACTGCGTTGTGAATGCTGCAATTAATCACACAGACGTGAAATTACATCTCAGTTTATGACACTTATGGACATGTGCTGGACACAAAACACGCACTAACCTGTTCCATGTGGCATTAGGGCCTGATCCTCTCTCCTCCAATGAAGCCTTTTCATTTTTCCCCAGCTGACTCAGATTTGGAGAACTCACCAACTTTAAGCGGTACAGAGTCCTCATGGTTAAAAACACACTACAGTTAGTCCAGAACCACAACAACAAGTGAGAGAAGGGGAGGAGCTAGAGAGATGCAGCTAGAGATGTGGAAGGGGAGGAAACTACTGTTTTACTGTTGAGAAATCAATTTCCTTCCTCCTAACATTACATTCATATCCTTTCCTTAGTCTCTCTCTCTCTGTCAGACACACACACACACACACACACACACAAGGATAAACCAATCTTGTTTAATAGTTATGCAACACAAAAACTAATTTTTTTCACACTCCCCGTACAAGGGAGTAACAGCCTGTTCCTCCTGTGCAGTGTGAGGTTTTAAAATACCTCAAATCATGAGGTTTGTTGAATAGAGGTTCGTGGTATTACTTTTCTAAGCACTGAAACTTATGATTTGTGCCAAGAGGATGATACAAAAATAGACTATATATTTTGTATATAATATATCTTATATAATATATTAATTTTTTTATATTATTATATCAATATTATCATATTATTCCTATATTAATATATGTATAATCCAAAATAAAAATAGTATAAAAATTTCCTATTTTATGTAATAAAATATATTTTATATTACAAATTTGGTGAAAATCGGACAAATGTTTGACGAGTAGTTCAAAAAAGTTTTTTTTTTAAGAAAATCAAAATGGCGGACAGGAAGTTTGGATGCCTATGGAAAAATTGCTATCTATGTTCTCTGCATGGTCTGAAGATGGACCCCATTCAATTTTCGTGGAAATTGGAGCGACGGTCTAGGAGGAGTTTGAAAAAGTCGTTTTTTTAAGAAAGAATGGCAGACAGGAATTACAGCCGACTATAGAAAAAATGGTATCTATGTTCTCAGAGAATCGATCAAATAAAATGGGCAAAACTAATCAAAATCCATTAGCATTTTAAATTTTGTTTTAATTTTGTCATAATTATTGACCACAAGGTGGCGCTGCCCTAAAACCTTTTGAGTACCTTCAAGGCATTTTGCCGAAGACACATAGCCCATAGATATCCATAATAAAGGCTAGATGTCTCGTCCGCGCTGCTGGCCAATGGAGGTCGACGTCCGCACCTGGCGGCCATCTTGTCACAGGCAGCTCGCTCACACGTAACATTGTGTTTTAATGGTCAAAATACTTTTTAAATAACCATAACTTGCTCAATTTTCTACCCATTTTCAAACGGTTTGGTTTGTTATAAACGTCAGAGATGTAGTTATGACACTGCATACTTATGAATAATAAGCGTATAAATAAATAATCATCCAGAATTATAGCCATGTTAATAACGGTTGTAAGAAACCAAACCGTTTGTAAATCCGTCAAGATTTAAACGAGATAAGAGTATTTGTGTCCGTGCTGATCACTCATCTTACATCAGGTATCACAGAGCCCGCCAGAAAGCTTGCCTGTGACAAGATGGCCGCCAGTGATGACGATAGAGACTCCGCCGTAAGACATCTAGCCTTTATTATGGATATCTATGACATAGCCTACCAAGTTTTGTAACGATATGCCAATGCATTCGTAAAATATAGCATTTTACGACAAAATTCAAAATGGCCGACGCCCAAATGGCCAAATTTCGTCCGATTCAGCATGGCTCCCCAAATTGAAAGAGACCAGTCTTGTGATTTTTGGTCAAACTGGTCAGATGTTATAAACAAAAAAAAATCAGTTTTCATATCTTCTGACCACTAGGTGGCACAGTGGCGAAACACTGCACGTACCCTCAAGTCATGCTTGCGATTACAGATACCAAGTTTCGTTGCGGAGATACAGGCTGTGTCCGAAATCTCCACTCAAACCACTACTCCCTAACCCCTTTGTAGGGGGTAGGGAGTAGAGCACTATATAGTGAGCTCACCAGCATAATAGAAACACCACTTTCGGACACTACTCGATCGTCTCTCGGCGCCGTTGATTACGTCATTACTGTCGCACTATTTAAACGCGCCATCATCTGTCAGCTGGTGCCGAGCCAGCTCTGGGCTAAATAGATTTTTTTTTTATAAATACATCACATTATATTGAGCTTATTTCTCCAAAATTGTAAAATTAAAAGTCATTTCTGGGCGTTTCTGTTATAATGCGTTACTCCACACATGATTATAACTTATAAACATAAATAAAATTAATACACATATTTCATATATTTTCATTTTCGCGCCACACCGTTTTCTCTTGCCTGTCGACATTAGGGGAAAAAAAACAGATCTACGTTATCAAATATCTTGCTCATAATACTCTTAATAAAACAGCTTTTAGACTCTGTGGAGATGCCACTCAATATTTATCTTTTTTGTTTGTTTGTTCTCGTGATTCAGAAGATTTTGCGGATGAGCAAAAGAAACAGGATTTCTAGACACAGAAAACGACGTGCTGTTCTTGCTACGCTAGCGAGACGTCGTCAAATTGTAAGTTAAAGATGAAGATGATGCTGATAGGTCTTTTACGATCAGCGCAATGCATGATGGTATGTAGGGCTTGGGTTAGTGACCATCGGTTGTACACTACTTTTCAAAATGCATTCTGGGATACATTGAGTGGACTATATAGGGTATAATAATCATCACTATACATTCGGACAGCACTACAAAATGGCAAGCTCACTATATAGTCCACTATATAGTGAGTAGTGGGAGATTTCGGACACAGCCACAGTCTCAAGTCTATTTTGGAGTACTCAATGCCAAATCCGTTTGCATGTTATTCAAGAACTGTTTTAAGAATCAAATTGAATTCTGAAGATCATCTGGTTCAATTTTCGTGAAAATCAGATAAACGTTCTATGAGTTTGAAAAAGTAGATTTTTCGGAAAAATAAAAAATTAAAATATAAAAAATAAATAATATAATTTAATATAATAAATATAAATAATAATCTTTTCCTAATATATATTAAAAAAAAATATATATATATATAGGCTATATTATTATGTATTTATATAAGAACCAAATTACAAACTATTACTTTTCATAGCATGTATATGCTGTGGTGGTGACTCTATTGTACTCTATTGACTTTAGCTTGGAAAATTTGTATCCTTTTCCCACTGGTCCTGACTGCACTCATTGAATTTACATTAATATCGGTCTGGTTCCTGGAACTGAGTAATCTATGTTATGTCATGTCTCCTGTGGCATCATACTGATTCTAAATAATTGTACACAAAATGGGTCCCTCAGCAGGTAGTAAATAGAGGAATGTCACACATTGTGAGATTTTTTTTTGAATATGGCTCATTTAGGGTACAAGTAACAAGGGAAAACCCAGGAATCATAAACACATAACAGGATACGAGTATGTATAGCAGGATGTGAGTGTGTTAATAGTTCCGTTCACATCAGTTGTACCTCCTGAATGGATGACTGCTCCCATCCATGTGAAGATGGTGTGGCAGAGCAAACAGGGCAGAGAAGCTGAACGTGGATGATCTAGGGACGGGTCGATCAATGCGGGCTCCGCTCAAGTTCTCCAGCATTGTTATCGAAAGGCTGCCAGATCCTCCGTTCATTCAGAACATCTCTGGTCCTTCTGATAACACAAGAGAATAAAGAAATCAACAAAATGAGAGAGGGGTTGTGGTGTTTGCTACTACTTACATCTTTAAAGGGATAGTCCCTCATGTTGTCCCAAACCTGTATGATTTATTTCCTTCTGCAGAACACAAAATAATTTATATTGTGTACACCTTGTGCGCCATATTCCTCCATATTCTTCTTGATTACAATTGCTTTGTGTTAAAAACAGACTGAAATTTAAGCAGTTATTCACTGAAATTATTTCCCTTCAGCGAGCTGTTGTGAACTGCAACTGAGTCAAACTCTAGAATCAGATCAGTCAGATGAAAAAAAATCATTAGTTCAATAGAAGGCATCACTATTTAATGTTCATGAGAGAAGCCATGGCTGATTCAGTGGCTGTGTCCCAATTCAGAGGCTGCATCCTTCGAAAGACTCGGATTTCAAAGGCCACGCCTTCGAAGGCAGCAAAGGTCGGACTGAGCGTTGTTAAATGGGACAGTACGGAGGACTGTTCTTGTCGCCAACTGTGACAGCTGCCGTCGACGAGCGCAAAACAGGGTTCACAAACTCTCTAAATTTGTTCACCATGGTCCATTTCTGTATATAATAGAGTATAAACTATATATAATCACATTTTAGTAAGATATAAGTCAACATTTAAACCACTTTAAAGTGTTTTATTTTATTTTTACATTTGTATCATTAGATATTTGAGTAAGTTGAAACCCAATAATACTTCTGTTGGGTAGGCAAGGCTGCGAAGGATTCATCTGTTGTATCCTTCATTTCACGGGAAACGAAGGACGCATATGGAAGACACATTTGAAGGAGCCTTCGAATTGGGACAGCCTTCGTCGTCGCACAGCGGTGAAGCAATCGGCCCTCGAATGCGCTCTTCGAAGGATGTAGCCTCTGAATTGTGACGCAGCAGTTAAATAATCTTTCTTTTGAATCGGATAGTTTTAATGAATCTGATGATCCATCTGAATTTGTTCACGAATCGGACTGATCCGCTTCTCAAATTAATTTTGAAATGAATGGTCTCCATTCATTAATAATGCAAAGAAATTAGAGACTTCGCTACACATTCTTTAAAAAAATTATAAAAAATTTTGTTCTGCAGAAGAAATAAAGTAATAAAGATTAAAACTAGATGAGGGTAAAAAAAAAGATAAAAGAATTTTCAATTTTCGGTTAACTAGCCCCTTAAATTTCCCAGATGCAAGCATTTGGTAAACACTCTAGAATAGATTATGAGGTCATGTTAAAACCAATTCATATAAGACAGCTACAGTGAAGACATATTTGCAAACCATTATTCTGCCGAAGATTAAGAAAAATCAGTTTTATTCTGTTCGGCTGTTTTAAAGGATGGATCGATGTGATTGTTTACGTTCTTCATGTCATTCTCCATGTGTTCCTCCTCAGCAACACAATTCATCCCGCGCCCCCTACTGGACCATTCGGGAAGCGTCGCAAAAGAAAATAGGCTACTACAACAAAAGACTTGTCTTGCATCAGGCTGTCATCATTTGTTCAGGGGGCCGTAAGAGCTTTTTATGAGCTCTTAAAACACACACACACACACACGCGCATCTCAACATCCTCGACCTAAATATGTGACTTTGCAATATGTTTCACTTTCCCTGAAGCATCATGTCAGTTTCCCTTTGTTCACTGAACGTGCCAGGACACGACACGAGCCACGATGTATTACAGGAGGAGCAGGAGGAGTCCATTTCCCTTTCTAAAGTGCAGACAGGTAAAAAGGGACGGTAAAACGTCGACGTCTGTGGGTAAACCCGAGAAGGCTATTTGAGAGGAAGAGCATCACTTATTCCCATCCTGGACTAACAGATATCGCTATTAAAACTCGATACGAATCAAACAACTCAACTGACCGTGTTACAATGCATCAATTTCTATTGATTACATATTCCATCCGTTGCTAGGCTATAAGTTATTCATTGCGGGATTGACGCACTGGGTACTCAATGTACCTAATGGTGATCATGGCACTTTTGTTATTTACAAACAGCGCAACAATGCACCATTCATCCAGGAGAAAACGCAATATAGCACAAAACACTCCACGCAAACAGTAGTGCAGTAACAGTGTTTCAACTCACCGTCATGTGTTCCGCGTGCAAAGTGAATAAGAGCAGTCAGGGATATTTTAGTAACTTCAGTGAGGACGGAAGCAATAAATATGACGCTCTACACTTCAGGAGAAACTAATCCATAAATGCGGATGTGGGTTTATGCGGGGTTAATGGATCATTCCCGTGGCATCCCCAATACTCGCCCCTCCTATTCGCTTCCCGAGTTGCAGACTGTGACCAGACGGCAGTCCAGACTGGGCGCGTTCACGCCCGAGCTCGTGCCTACGCGCCATTGTGCGAAGGGTCGAGATATGCTTGAACAAAGCGAAACGTTAGAATGTAAAGTAGCCTATCATTTTTAGGGTTGATATGCTAACATTTAATAAACATTAATAAAGGAAATTATATTCCCGTTTCGCTTTAAGAGCTCAATTTAAGAGCTCAGCAGGAAGCCATATATATAATCAAATCCATATTCAATCCAATCAGTCACTGAGTGATGCTATAACCAGACTGCAATCTTTATTCGGATCCCTATTTTAGATTTAGGAAATCCCTGCTGAGTTGACGGTGACAGGGATATAATTTAGCACACCAGCGGTTTATCTTAAAGGGGCGGAGCAAAATTTTAATAAATTGATTTTGAAAAATAAAATCTGGCCAAACGGAACGCTACTTCGTAATAGGTTGCATCTGGATTTTTTGTTTATTTTTTTAGGATTTGTATTTTAAAAATGTAAAAGAACAATAAGACTTATTATTGTTAGAGTTATTATTACAGTGTTTTTAATTAATAGGTTGAGCGAATGATTCCGTGTATCGTATATACATAGCACACAAAAATAAATGTAACTGACTATTTATTCTGGCAGAAAGGGCTACTGGAAAGTGAACAAATCCTTTTGGTGACCGAATTTAAAGATGCAATGAAATAGAAGTAGCGACAGATCTTTTTTTTCTGTATTGTGATATATCTGAGTGAAACAGATTATCCAAAAAAATAAAATAAAAGAAATGTTGGTAGGGACAAGGTTGTATACATCGGCTATTGATTTTATTCACAATAAATTCTATAAAATGCATTTAGAAAATAGATTTTAAAAGATGCTAGACACTATGAATCCAAATCTCCATTACCATTTATATAGTGGGCAGTAACCATTAGACTGGATTTCAAATAAATGGCCGTTTTTTATTTATTTTGCTGTTATTTAGATTTTTTGTCTATGGTAATATTTATTTTCATTTTGTGATGTGAACGCAGAGAACACAATAATCCTTTATCTGTGACAAATAGCAGGATATTTAAAACACAAAAAGGGGATTCTTAACTCTACATTCTTTTCTTTTTCTTTTTTTTAAAGGTTTACTGAAGTGCCTTGAAATGCGCAGCCCCTCCCCTTTAATAGCGTAACCAATAGCGTTTCGTTTATATCACAGCTCGGCCTGAGGTTGACCTCGGTAAAGCCGCAGTTTCCTTCTAATCTCTAAACATTTCTCCTCCTAATCTCCTCTATAGCCTACCACTTTAAAAGATAGCATTCTGTGTAGAATTCAAATGGGTCCGATACATTTATGCGAATTTTGTCATTGTTTTGGAGTACACTAGCTTATAGATAACAGTAAAGCTAACATAATTCTTAATTCTAAAATTTTGATTTCATGGGGACTTTACCTCGACTACATTCACTGAATTTCTCCCATGATTTCTCGCCGTCTTTATGACGTGTTACGCACGTGCGTATGGGCGGGGCGGCGTAAACGTGGTTGTGGCGCTGCGGCGGGAATTTTCAAACGCTCAACCAAGACCAGAGGATTCTACCGTTCGGCGTCCGGTTTTTACATTAGAACGTTCCCGTAGAAACATTGACTGAACGCTTACCAGTTCAATGTGTCGCCTCGTCGACAGAAAGTGGGGTAGATAGACGGTAGCGCACTATGGGCGTTCACTAGCGCGTAATGTTGTTTCAGACTTCCTGTTGTTACAGTTTAGCGACCTCCACTCACATTATACATATTCAACATCGTTTAAAAGAGAATATTGACGGATTTTGAGACTTAGCGATAAAAAAAACACACATGGATCACTGCAGTGGGAGGCAAGAGGAGAGGAAACCTCATACAACCAGCACATGTTTTGGTCAGGTGTGTGTTTTTTAGGGGATAGTTTTTAACACTTTGTTATGGTCATGTTGACATAATGTGAAGAGCTACAGAAAGCACACTTTATAATGTATAATAATAATTCCGGAGTTTAGAATGCAGTTGTAACTTGATGTTTGTTGTAGTATGCATACACTGCAGAGGAGTACCAGGCAGTCCAGAATGCTCTGCGGCAGAAACTCGGACCTGAATATATCAGCTCCAGACAGGCTGGAGGAGGACAAAAGGTCACAATTAATGTGCTTCTTGTACACTTAGCAATATTTAGCCTTGCATATTTAATATATAGTTGAGTTATCTGGCTGTTTTCCAGATTATTTTACATTTGCCTTGGTTTTGCAGGTGTGCTATATCGAAGGTCACAAAGTTATAAGCCTTGCCAATGAAATGTTTGGATATAATGGATGGTCACACTCAATATCTCAGCAGAATGTCGGTAAGGACACCATCACTTTTGCACTGATGTGTTTTGTCATCAAGACAGGCACAGATTCTCAAACATTCCCATTTATGCTGCATTTAAATCAGGTTGATACTTGTTTTTGAAAGGGGGTGTGGTCAATCTTGTGTTACAGATTTTGTAGACCTTATCAATGGGAAATTTTATGTTGGAGTCAGTGCCTTTGTGAAGGTCCAATTGAAGGTAAGCACTCTGACGGGATACACGCAGCATTGTGAGGAGCATACATGTACCATTCTGTTTCCTCTATCTTTTCCATAGGATGGCTCGTTCCATGAGGATGTAGGTTATGGGGTGAGCGAAGGCCTCAAATCCAAAGCTCTGTCACTGGAAAAAGCGAGAAAAGAAGCCGTCACAGATGGATTGAAACGAGCACTCAAGTAATTATTTACATATACCTCTACATATACTTGATTCTGAGTAGTCATTTGTGGCATTCTGTGGTCAATATTTTGAATAAAAATAGTACTTTTATTTAGCAAGGATGTATTAAAAATTGATCAAAAGTGACAGTAAAGGCATTTATAATATAAAACATTCCCATTTCAAATAAATGCTGTTTTTTTGAACTTTCTATTCATTAGAGAATCCTGAAAAAATGTATCACGGTTTTCACAAAAACATTAAGCGGCACAACTGTTTTCAACATTAATAATAATAAATGTTTCTTGATAATCAAATCAGCATTTTATAATGATTTCTGAAGGATCACGTGACACTGAAGACTGGAGTAATATTGCTGTCATTTTTGCTTTGGCATCAAAGGAATAAATTACATCTTTAAGTATATATTTATATATATATCTAGCCTGGTAAAATGATTTGAACTCATAGTTTCATGTCCATAAATGTATTTATTTGATAAGAAGCCATATAATAAGTAGGAGAATATCTTTTAATAGGTGATATAAAACCCCTTCCACTTCACAACAGGCTCCTGATCACCTTGTCCAGATTTATTATTATTATATAATGTACGGGCTGATTGTCCGGTACACCTTACACAATTTTAATTGAATTGTAATTTTATTTTACAATAAGGTGTTTTGGAAACGCGCTTGGAAACTGTATTCTGAATAAGGAGTATCTCATAGCCATCAATAAAATACCAAAGCAGGTAAGAGGTCATCTTAAACATTTGGGCCAAATTTGTGACTCATTTCAATGTATTTTCTTAATGTATGTACCTGAAATACATTGTATTTCCTGTCATCGCAGCCACCTCCTCCTTTAGACCCGGACAAAACCAAACGCTGTGATGGCGAGCCGTCCGTAGAGAAGGCCAGGTTCGACAGCCTGGCCCGAGCCAACAGCAGGGAATTTATCAAACCGGCGGAACCAGCCAACATCCCTTTTGAGCGAATGGGAAGTCGCCCTGTACGAGGAGGGCATGAGAGCGGCACCGGATCCAGGACTTCATTGACAAACACGACAGCACATTCTGGCAACACATCAGCTCACCAGGACTCTGAAAACAGGCCCAGCAATATCTCAAGGTGAATTTATTTGGTGCTAACTTCGACTACAGCACTAGCCAGCTGCGCTTGTGATAAATCTGCTACTCTCATGTTGTTAGGTCAGCAGCTGACATGGCTGACCTGTCCTCGTCTGATCCTCCACTGGACTCCAAGCAGCAGAGGAAGCTGAGACAGCAGCAGCTGCAGCTAAAGTTCAGACAGGAAATGGAGGCGAAGAAGTTGCTACAGGAACCGAAAACCGAGCCATCAAACGCTTGCACGGAAACGCTGCAGTCTGAGCAAGGTGCGATGGAAAATTTAAGGGTTCATGTTTTAGCCATGAGTATAAAAGATTTAAGCCTTTCGCCTGCAGGAGTGTCAGGTGTGTAGCGTTGTCCATCAGTGGGTTTATCGTTTTAGGACAGGCTGTAGGTCCTGTTAACCACAGTACACCAAACGGACACCTGGTGACCACTAAACAGGAGGAGCATCTGGCTGGTAAGGAATATTTTTGAGAAAAGTGCCAGTGGTAACACCACTTTATTTAATAAAGATTTTTCAACATTTTCAGATAATATTGACATTATTGCTGTTTCACTGGTCTGAAATTAATTGATTTATTCTTACAACCTGTTTTTATGTGTATTAAAAATATTTAGCTGACTTTATTTTAGGAAGGGGTCATTTGCAAGAGATTCACACTATTTGAAAACCCTGCTTTGAAGTAATATTAAACGCACACAAAAAATTAAAAACATTTTTAAAGCTTAAAAACTACCAGTCCTCCATTTTGACTCAAAGCGTGGTCAGTATATCCATTTAAAAAAAAAAATGTTTTAAGGGGCTTAAAATGACACAATTACAGAACTTTCATTTTAGGTTTTAATACAGGAACAAGGTTGTTAGATTATGAGGTAAAATATATAAAAATGTCTCACTTCTCAGATGACCCAGAATTATGGAACTTCACTCTGGATGGCATTGATATTCTCGAAGATCCTGCAGCAGGATCCACAGAACCTCCTCGTCCCACCACGCCGAGCCAGCACAAGATGATGACACGCAGCAGGACCCCGCAGAGAGCCCAGTACTTGAGACCACCAGCTCGACCTCAGGGGCATGTCGTTCCTCAAGGCCAGGGAGGATGTGGCCAATTCAGATCCTCTGAGATGAGAACTACAGCAGGAGCAGGTACAATCTGACTCATGTTCACTTAATAAATACATGCTCATTGACGACAGACTTTGTAAGAAGGCAAGTATATGCATGCCCAGTTCTGGTTTTTGCCTCTTTACTCATGCAAACATCACACGTCCCCATTAATATAAATAGCCAGGAACTTAACACTCTCAGAGCTGGCAGCGTGTGGCCCACAATTCTAGAACCAGCCTGTGCTTGTTGACTTTGCCTGTTCATTAAGAGAAAATTACTTTAGCTTCTTTTAATCATGGACCTGTGGTAATGATGTTGTAATTGTTAATGAAGGTGGACAACAGAGCCCATACAGACACGGCCAGATGATGAAGAAACGAAAACTGGAGACGCAATGTATTTAACTATTTATTTTCTTTTAGAAAATCTTGTTTTTATCTAGATTAGTTTTTTTTTTTTTTTACTAATTTGTGAATATGAAAAGCTAATAAATGTTTGTTACGTGGTCTGTTTTTGACTGATAAACCTAATTTGTAATAAATAAAAACAATTTTAAACTGATTTTTGGAGATTAAGTTTGTGGAAAGGATTGAAACCGTATTCCCAGGTTATTTTACTATGTAACGAATTAACTATGAAATATTAATAATCAATAATAACTGGTTATAATTGATGAATATTTGGATCAGTTAATATAATTAATTTAATGTAGTAAAATTCATATTACAATCAACCCACCTGTTCGTCCCGTGAACACTCAGCGTTAATTGTTTATCAATTCTAAGAAATATTCATTTCCGGGCAGCAGTGAAGGCCTGAGGAAGAGAGGACTAAAAGGAGGAAGGGCTTGTGGGCAGGTCACACCTTCCGGGGTTGCCTCAACCACTAAGAAAGGGGGAATTTCCAAGTGGGAGTTTCCTCTGTTGGTAGGATTTATGACCCTTTGTTTTAAGCGTGCTCCTTTGCATTGCAGCTGGATTGGTTGCTGATGAAGAAACTATGAAAGATAAAAAGTACCAATTTATAGAGACCAAACATGGAATAGGTGACCACCGATTCTATTGTAAAATACACAGCATCAACAAAATAATAATATTAAAAAACATAACAAAAGACAGTAAATCATTCGCAAAATGTTCTTCATGTTCATTTATAGATCAGTTTGTCTATAATTAATGCAGCAAAATCTGTATTAAAGGCTGTTTCTGTCTTGAACATGTGACCACATTTTTAACAGCAATAAAACCAACTTATCTTATCGTGGTCATGGTAACTAAGACCTTCTTGCCCTTTTGGGGGGCGTTAAGTGATGCGAGTTTAAAATATTATTTGTTAACTATAACAAATACTTGTGTCTGATTTGTCTCAGTTGTTACAACTATTAGTAGCTGACAACAGGGAATAACTAAACTTCTGGGAAACACCTTGTTTAAAAAAAAAAAAAAAAAAAAAAAAAAAGCACAATGTAGTAGGAGGAGGAAAAAGTCCAAAATGTTTTATTAAGCATTTGAATATATATACATTTTTTTTTTTACAAGACTGATACATAAAACCATAGATATTCACCAAAAGGACCCTGGATGAAACGAATTGACAGAAAACTTCAGCAGCAGCAATTTTTGAACCCACAAATTTAATGCGGTTTTCATTTGTGAGATGTGGATTGTGAAAACATGCAGTTTTCAGAATTTCAGTTATGTGACAGGAGTGTGTGATTATGATTAGTGGCATTTCCTCAGTTTCACTGTCTCTAAACGTGGTTCTGGTCAATTACAGAGTATTTGGATCTGTGCAGTTAAGTATCAAAAGTAACAAATAACCCTCCCCACTCGGTTAAACCTTAAACGGCGCGTATTCTGCATTGCAGTAACATTTACCTTCTCTAGAGAAGTCAAGCGGATCATTTCAGAGATGACAGGATGTCATTTCCGCAAACGATTGGCACTCAATTTGTGGTATAGAAAAAATGTTGGGTTGGGGCTGGTATACTGTAGTTTAATACTGTACTTCTGTTGCTGCAGTCAAATGCACTATGTTAAATCTTTTCTCAAAGTTGGTCACCAAAAAGTTGATTTGCCCAAAATCAAGTATTTCATTGACCACATTTGCATGGGCTATGACGTTTGAATGACTTTTTAAAGACGGGAAGACATAATCCCGTGGTTTAAGGCTAGCTTCTTTCAAAATGAAAGCAATATGTGATTGGATGAAGAAATATGCTTTCATTAATATGCATACAGGATGCTCACCCTCTCAAGGACCATCTATATCCAAACTAAGACATCTATCCACATACATACAAAAAAGGGTGTGGGCAGGGAGTAGTGGTGACTGTCTATATAAGATACACTGTATTATTGTAAGTTCACCATAAATGATATATATATAAAAAAGGTCACGAATGAACAATGCTATGAAATACGTGCAAGTACGAAGAGCTATAAAACCCTACTTTTACCTCCCTCAATTGCACATCCTCTTCCTTTGATTTCAAACTCCAACTTAAGTAAATGAAAACCGAAGACTGTCTCAAATGCAGTTACATCTAACTACCTTCTTTATCCATCTTCCAACATTCTAGACTCATTTCTAGGATACGTACAGTCGGCACCCATTGAGACTTGTGTTGGTGGTGTAGTCTTTCATCCATTCACTTACATGTCAGCATCTCTTCTGCAGGCAAACTGCAACACCATCACTATATCTCATTGGTCACACTGCCTGACTTGATTACAATAAGGATGGTATCCATATACCATAAGGCTATATATATGATGTTTAAGACAACTTAACCCAGTTTAACCCTTTCTGTGCCCTTTTATCAAATGTACACATTCATCTATCAGTAGGTTAAACAGCAGGTTAGGTCAAATTTGAATAACCCGAGTCACATTATATGGACCTTGAAGTCTTTCCAATGTAAACTGTCAGATAAAACATGTCCACTTAAAGGAGTAGGCCCAATAATCTCAACCCCATGAGGCACAGCTTATCTCTTCATTGTACCAACCCATCAATAGCCGTTTCAGCTCGCCTGAGTGGTACGTAGATTGGTTGACCCGCAGCTGTTTCCAGATTGGTGAGCTCCTGAGGGAACGAGGAAGCCCGGTTGTAGTCCTGCAGGGGGAGCAGTGGAAGACAGCGGGGCCCACTGAGGCATGCTGTAGGTGGGACAGGTGTAGCCAAACGGCTGATTGCTCATACACAGTGAACCCTTCCGTCCAGTTGTGGGGTTGACGTTGGCCGGCATGTGACCACCCATGGAACAAAGCTGACCTGGTGCAGAGAATTTACGTGGCAACATCTGAGGAGGAAGACAGTTTATTTATTATAAAACATAGTTTTGATCTTGATTGGTCAATACAGCATGCTAAAATGCACGATATGATGTAAAACACCTGCTCATCTAGCTATTCATAGTTATGTCACATGACTGGCACAGAGACCTGGAGGGCAAAACATCCACAGAACGGTTTCAGGCAATATTAAGATCATCATCAAAAAGAGGTGAGCAAATGCAACTTGTGGGCACTTGTGATCCATATACAGCACCTGCTGCAGTATTTCAATCACCAAAGACGACGGAACATTCTAAAATGCTTAATGTGAAAAACAGATAAAGTGCCTTTATGTATTAAAATGGTGATATTAATAGATCAAACTCAGAATGCACCTTATTGATGATGCATACTATATACAGGCGAGCAGATGAGCCCAGAATATGAATGCAATGCGCTAAATGAGTAAGTGTTTTATTTATAATGGTGTTCTATGGAAAAATGCTTAGCGGGAAACTGCACATTGCTTTTGTGTTCTGGGTTCATCTGCTTGCCAGTACATAGTATGCATCACCAATAAGGTGTATATTGAATTTGGTCTTTATATATCACGGTCTTACTACATTAATACAAACCTTATTAAAAAGGTGGGCGTTTCTATTGGGGTGTGACGTTACATGAAAATTGTGTATATACTATTAAAGCCCAAAATAGGTGACTAATCTAAATGCCTCTGATTGGCCACTGCATTTATAAGCTCAACAGAAATGTGTGATTGGTTATAATGCTCAACGCTGCAAACACGTGTAAAAAGAAATCTGATGCAACATGAGCAGATCTTTGTAATTCTGCAATCGACACTTTTCATTGATTTTCACATTTCACTTTAATTGTGACAGCTGTGGTAATTTATTTTAATTGTACAGGGAAATTTTTCTTGAATTTGGGGCATTGGCATTTTTGACCCTGTTAGCTGTACATGTATCCTATCTTGTGAACATTCTTCGATAATCTATATCAAAACTTTTTGGAGTCTTTCTTGACCTGTGGCATCATGTTCTTGGCATCCCTGGCCCAGTTATCAACCAACTGATGGAGGTCATCGGTGAATGTGCCCTTGCGTGGCAGATTAGTAGCTGGGGCTTGGTCCTGGTCATGACTCTGTCCGTTCTCTTCTCTTACTGGACTCGTGGTCCCTACAAGTTACAATCAATATTCACCGATTAGAAGAACTTGAGCATTTTGATAAAAAAAAAAACATTAATTCTCCAACTAAAATGCTGAGTCATACCTTGCACTTGAACATTTGAGCTTGGTGCGGTTTCAGAAGTTGAAGTCTTCCCAGTGGCAGACTGATTGACTGAATTGTGACCACTTTGTACAGCTTGCTTGTTCCCTGGACAAAACCAAACAGCAGTTTAAGCCATTTGTTCACAAGGCCCTGAGCAGGATGTTACAGTTGGATGTAAACCACTAAGCTCTGATACCTTGAAAAGAACCGGTGCCACTACCACTTCTTGACCGATTCCCCTTGCCCTTAGTGGGTCTCCGCCTTCCTGACGCAATGGCCACGGTGGGAGGGACCACCACAGAGGGCGGCGTTTTGCCCAGACGTGTAAAGAGTTCCTCGATTTCCTTTTTTTGTTTATTCTGTAATGCCTGGATCTCAACCATATGTCTGCAAAAAGAAATAAAAGGGATCACAAATTGATAACTAATTGCTTTTGTTGATGAGGATGACGAATTGTTTTTATTCCTTTTTTGTAATTTGCTTTGGATAAAATCCTCTGCTAAATGCATAAATGTATATAAAATCGAGACACATGATTATCTTTACAGAGTCAAACATGAACAATTGAGGTCACAAAAAAAAGATCAAGGTACCTCTCCCTGAGCTTGTTTATCTCTCCTTTAAGGCCCTCATCTTCTGGTTCAGAATCATTGTCACTGCTGAGGTAGTGATTGGTGATGGACATGCTAGAAGCGTTCATTTTAGGCTCTTTAGCGATGTCCGGTCCCTCAGTAGAGCTTATGAAGAAGGTCTTTCCTTCTGCTGGGGTCACTGAGAAGCGGCCCACGTTGATGTCAGTGCTGGAGGTCACCTGAAAGCGGCCAACTGTAGTGATAGACGAGACAGGTTCAGGGCTGACCCTAGGAGGGGTCTGAGATTTATGAACTGTGTTTTCAGGGCTAGAAAGAGATGATGGTGATGAGGAGGAGGATGACGATGATGTTGTTGAAGAAGGGGTGATGGAGGAAGATGAGACTACTACTGCTGGATCTGGAGCACTGCCTGGGTCTTGATCACTGGCCACAGAAACCTGAAATGTAGACCGAGGATGTGCATGAACTTGCCGTTTAAATCTTTCAGGCATTAAAATATGAACCTGAGAAGTCTATAAGGCTACCTGAAATCGGCCAAGTTTGAAAGCTTTTTCGAGTTGTGATGTCACTAGCTCTTTCTCCTCAGTGCTTGTCTGTCCATCTGGTTGATTTACAGCTGTGGAGGTCTTTAAAAGAGAATGCAAAAAAGTGTAATAATGCTATAACAATGTATTAATGGGTCAATGACAAATAAGAGTGTCTACAGTAAAAGCATAAGCAAAAAAAAAAAAATGTAGTTTGAAATTAATGTGTCAAGTTTTAGAAATGTAGTCTTTGTATTCTCATGACGAAGAAAGTAAAAAGCAATTTTTTTTTTCTTACACTTTAAATAAAGAAACATGTCAGTGTACACGGTCCAATCTTTGTTTATATATATATATATATATATATATAGAACTGTACACAATTCCTGTGAAAATCCCACCCAGGCTAAAATATAAACGCTTATAATAGGCGTACCATTGTAAATCAGGGCAAGACATGACACGTTTTGGAAGAAGGATTTATGTATTGACTTATTTTTTACATTTTGTTCATTTAAAAAAAAGAAAATATATCTTTTTCACTAATATTTCATTTGTAATAGTTTTAGTAAAAAATAACATGAATTGAATTTATGTTTAAGCGTCATGTCATCCAAATACCAATATAGACGCTCAATTAGCAACTTTCCCCACCTGTGGCCTTTGTGGTGACGGATCTGCAGATGAAGTCTGGGCATGGCTTGTAGGTGTCCCAACGGAGGCAAAAGCACCGGGTGCAAAGTTCCCACTGGAACTGAGAGACAAACTGGGAGGCGTTACACTGGAGACCAAGCCAGGAGTGATGGTGTTGGGTGGGGAGGATGTAGATGGCTCTCCAGATCCATCAGGTTGAGTGGAGGAGCTCTGAGAGGAGTCCTTGAAAAGGGAACGCAGCTTCTGGTCTAAAGCATGAATGTCTTCAATTCCAGGTGGCTTCCCCTGTACATCACTCTCACCATCTGTCCCAGTTGGTTGTGTCACGGGGATAGAAGAGGGGCAGACTTGCACCTGCTGAATGGTAGCTTGAGTTTGATCCAAGCCACTGCTCTCAGCCTGCTGACCCACAATGTTTTGAGGAGTCTGGAAAGGGGTAGGACTTGACAGCCGACGTGGTTCTGGTGATTCAGTTGGAGCTGGGGAAGGGGATGTCCTTCCTGTACTGGTTTGCTGATTGGTGGTAGATGGTGTAGGAATGATTTCTTTAGTGGTGACTGTTATCAGATTTGCAGTGGCTGCAGGTACAGGGCTCTGGTATAATGACTGGGAAGTAGGAGGAATACAGATCTCTGGGTTAAGACCTCCAGGTGTGGCTGGTACCACAGAAATCTGTGTTGAACCAGGGGCAAAGTTGGCTTGTTCCTGCTGAACACTGCTGGCTGATGTGGGATCAGATGCTGGAAATGAGAAATGCATGGATAAAATCAGTCTGAATATTTTGTAATATGTTTAAGTAATCTTTTTATGCAGATGTGTAAATCAGACCTGGTGCGGAGTCTTCAAATGATGTGCTTGCTGAAGGAGGTCCAAACATAGGTTCCCGAAGTCTTGCTTCAGGCACTGGACTAACTATGAAGCGCCGGCCTGCTGAATGTACAACCTGTGCTGCTACGCTAGGTGGCACACCTGTTAAATGTGAAATATAAAAAATGATACAGGATGCAAGACTGGGCCAGAAAAAATGTAAAAACATAACTATAAAGAACACTTACCAGGCACACTGGATGTTGAGATTTCAGGTACTTGCTGGGCCGAATTATTGATCACCTGAAGTGACAAGTGTTATGAGGAGAATTTCATTTGTAGTCCACAAATTATTTCTCAAATGTATTCTTATGGTCTGAAAATCATAGTAAATACCTGAGTTTGGCTGTTTTTCAGAGCTTTTCCTTTCTGATCTGCAATCTGAATGACCTCTCGAACCTGGTCTATGAAGGAATCCCGCTCGCTCTCCAAGATAAAATCACTATTGACCTGATACAAAACGAAGAGAAGTTACATACAACTTAGGAGAACTATCCTACACCACTATTAGGGGTGGAAAAAATTATTTTACAAACTAATTAATTTTTAAATCATAGTTTCTTTCTGCAGCAGAAGGTATGTCCAACTCAGGGGTGTTTTCTAATCAGTAGTTATAATCCCTTTTTAAATTTCACAGACTTCACCTTCCACAGGCAATTCACACAAAGTTTTTTTTTTCTTTGCGTTTCACTGTGCTCGTTTTCCACAGTGAACATGCAATAGATGGACATCTTTGACCGTTGTGTTCGCGTCCTGGTGTCTCACGCATGATTACACATTTGTAAGATGCCATGTCATGTTAAAATAAGTTTTAAAACATTTTCAATCCAATCCACTATACTGAAAAAGGGTGAGTGTAAGAGAGAGAAAGGTTTACCATAATTTCAGCAATTTCTACAGGATTATCTCCATCCAAATCAAACTTGAATGTGACCATCTTTCTGTTGTGGGTTTCCAGCTGACATTCAGCGACTCTGTCACCAATATTAGAAATCTACAAAAACAAACAGATCAATATTTCAATGAAATTAATTATTTCATAAACTTATACATTTTTTAGCTTGTAGTCACACATTGTTATTATAGTAAATACATAAATAGATATATATATATATATATATATATATATATATATATATATATATATATATATATATATATATATATATATATACCAATATTAAAAACAAATATTAGATTTGGGCGTAACTTACATTCAGCAAATTGAGCTTGCCCTTAGCAATCTTTTCGTGGCGTGAGCGGCTGCGTACAGAACGACGTTGGGCTCGTTTCATAGAGCGACCCTCGTGCCTGCCCTCGTTCCCATCGCTCAGACCAGATGCAGCATCGGAATGGCCACTGAGGGAACCAAAAACATCATTGGTTCAACTTCTCTCTAATGGAGGGTCAACATTAATACACATGAATTATTAAAAAGATGTTTCACCTTTCCGTGGAGGCTGGAACCAGAGATGTTTGAGGTTGTGTCTGCTCTACTGGCTGCGGTTGGGACACACTCAGTGGTACCTGTAATAGAGAATCAAATTAGAATTTTAGAATCCAAGTGACTTTTAATCATAATCACCTATAACAAACAATCACATGGAGAAGGTGGTCTTCATCCAGACAAAAAGGCTTGTTGTAAATTGTTGGTTTGTGGTGACTCAAGCCTACAAGGCTTTGGGGAGAGAGGGTGAGGTAACAGGAAGTTATACTGTTCAGAGAGTTTTTCAATGGTTGGTGCCAATATCTAGAGAAGACGTTGGCCAGTGGCCTTTATAATGTCTGCATACACACACACAACAATTTATTGACAGTAAATGGGACATACACTAGCATTTCAAAAGTTTGGGGTCAATAAGATTTTTTGAATACTTTTATTCAGCAATAATGCATTAAATTGATAAAAAGTGAAAGTAATGACATGCGTAATGCTACAAAAGATTTGTGTTTCAAATAAATTATGTTCTTTTAAACTTTCTACAAGGAATCCTAAAAAAAAAAAAAAAAAAAAAATCCACAAATAAGCAGCTCAACCTTTTCCTACGGAGCCCCTAAAGGGACCTTTGCAAAAAAAGACTTCCACATGCTCTCGAGAAACGTATCTTGTGCGCATGAGAATAGTTTCTCGTGAGCAAGTGAAAGTCTGTTTATTTTTTATTTTTGCAAAGGTCCCTTTAGGGGCTCCGTAGTTTCCTACATTAATAAGAAGAAATATTTCTTGAGCACTAAATCATCATATCAGAATGATTTCTGAAGGATCATATGACACATTTTTTTAATGTATTTTTAATTTAAAAAAAAAATAGTCTTGGTGAGCATAAGAGACTTCTTTCAGAAATGTTTTAAAAAAAAATTACCAACCCCAAATTTTTATATACTATTTATTTTGTATACTAAATTACTGACATTTTCTTTTCACAACATTTCCTCAAAATTCACTGAAAGCCGAGCTTGTTTCAAAATCTACCAACATACTTGAATAAAAAAAAAAATGTTTTTTTTTAGCATTTGAAATAATTTGTAAAAAATATTGTGTAAAAGAAGTGTAAATATAATATTTAGCTATTTTGAGTACCATTACAATTTTTTTAATACACGTTACATTTTTTTAATATACACAAACGCATTATATTAGCCCTCAGCATTGTGAATATTGTTGTCAGAACTAAAAACCCACATCGGCAAACTGCTAATTCACACACCAGTGTTAGGCACAGCTAGTACCTGACAAGCCTGATATAGAAAATAGAGTTGTTCAGCATTTGGAGGTGGTGAGAAAACAGGAGGACTGAGTTGACATGCCCATATCTGACAAACATGTAAGAGCAGCCAGCATGCAAGAAAGAGATGGAGAAGTAAAGAACAGTAGTATTAATGCATGAACTGCCAATAAGCTGGATGTTGTGCATAAAGTACAGTACCAAGCAACATGCAGGCCAATGGAAAATGTAATATCAGCCACCAGAGGGCATTATTCATGCTGTACCTGTAAGACTTGAGGCCCCTGCAGTGACTGAGGGGGAGCGCTGCCATCCTGAGGTGGCTGATGGTACTGCAGGGGGACGGCAGGCTGAACAGCAGGGGGCAGAGAGGCTGCCTGTCCCATCATCTGAGAGGGAAGTTCATGTATACATTAAAAGGGCTTTTATAACTCTGGTTTATGTTTAACAAACAACAGATCCATAGAGCAAGATGTTTTTGTCATTATGTTATTGATCAAGTGAAGTGTACCTGGGGTGTGGCCGCAGTTCCAGTCTGGGGGACGGGGACTGGGGACAAAGTACTGCTCAACTGCTGCGACTGATGTAGAGAAGCAATTTAGAAATTTAGCAATTAAGACATAATATCAAAGAATACAGTGTTTTGTTTTCAGACGAACAACAAGCTCTGTTCGAAAACCACGACATTTAAAAGACCCCCTGTGGTGAAAATTAAGTTTTTAAATGTTGTTTATATGTCTATAAACGGCAGTGAACCAAAAACGCGGTTTGAAATCGACCTTGTTCTCAACGTCACAAATATGTTGTAACTAATCCAGTCAACGTGTGGGGGGCGCCGGGAACAATCGCGCCCGGGCTCAGACTGCAACAAACGAGCCCAGTGTGAAAGCACCCTAAGAGAAACCAGGTTATCCCGGTATATTTTTCTGTTGAGAAAAGTCGGGTACATTTGGCAATATAGTGGGTGAATTATGTATATGATGTACATTACAATGTTATGATGAACTATATGCCTCTCTCTACTGACGTTCTAAGGGCCTGCTCACATATCGCGTCTTTTGCGCGCTCAAGTTCGTTATTTCAAATGTAGGCGCGCGGTATGCGTGCTCATAATGGAAGCACGCGGTCGCGGTGCGCTCGTTTTTTCCAAGCGCGTCCGCGCCGCATCGAGATAAAAACATCTCAACTTTTCAGAATGCCGCAAGCGCACCATAAGCGCACAGTAGGTCACGTGACAAGAACCAACCGGAGCGCAACCGCCCTAGCTCTTTGGAAAAAGGAGAATGCGGCGCGCCCAGCGTTTTCTACGCGTTTTTAGGCGCTATATGTGAATCCGGCCTAAGGATACTCATTTTTAGAAGGCAGCTGTCTGACTCCGAGATGGCGAACAGGAATATGGTTTGTGTAACATTAGTAGACATGTGCCGGTATTCGGTAATGCGATAAATCGCGGTAATGAATATGCACAATATTCTTATCGCGGGCACTTCAAAATACTGTGAAAAATAATAGATCCGAATTAAGATGTTTAGAACGCGCATTAGCTTATTTTCCATCAACCGCTTAAAAAAACACTGCGTTTATTCTGCGCAAAAGACGTGTGCACTCTGATGTAAACAATCCCCACATGTATGAGCACTGTGTGCATGCAGCGCAGTGCGCACTCTAGTCTAATGTAAACAATCCTCCCATGGAGAAGAAGCATGGCGGAAGAAGGAACCCTGGCGACGATTTATGCCCCTTCTAAAAGTAGGGCTGCCAACTCACGCATTCAGCTTGAGACTCGCGCAATTGACACTTTTCACACGCCACACATCCATTTTCTCACACAGAAAAATCGGAGCAAAGAAGACACCGACAGACTAGACAGAGCAAGTTACTTTTGATATGAAAAAAATAAAATTCAGACAATAAATACCGTTTTGGCGCTTGTAAATGTGACGTGACAGATCGCTGTAGCGCCTCAGTTCAAGTAAACCGATCATCTGTTACTTTTTCTTTAAAGCTAGAGTACAACTTACCGAAAGGTATGTCTCATACATAATATTAGGGGTGCTCCGATCAGGATTTTTGGGGCCGATCACCGATTACTGGAAGCTGTATCACCCGATACCGATTACCGATTACAGGGTCTATTTGAAGACTTCTTTTTATCATGTAGCATTACTTATTAAACTTCTGAGTCTTTAAATTTAGCTTTAGACTACTTTAAACTACAAACAGCAACAAAAAAGGCTATAGCCAAAATAATGTAGTAAAGTGCACAGCAACAACAAAAAAACTAACAACTTCCAAATCTGTATCTATAACTTTGCTTTTTTCTGGGATGCTTAGTCAGATTTTGTGGGCATTTAGAGAGGAAGAGAGAGGTAGAGAAACCTTTTTTTTGTGTGTGTGTGTGTGTGAAGAACCCTTGCAAAATTATTTTAAACAGATTAAGAAAGCCACAACTGGTCACATGGTAAGATTGATTTTTTTTAGATCCAGTGAAGTCTGTCCCACCATGTACCTAATATAAATAAATAAAACATCTTCAGTTAACTAGCAGATCATTCATTTAGTTCGCTATTAAATAAGAAATCTAGTGCTAAAATGTGTTTTTGAACTCAAGCTGCGCGCTCGTTGCCGCGGCGATCAGTTGCATGGATACAGTGCTCTGTGAGTCTTCACTCGGACGCGCGCTTCAATCTATCGCCGTTGCGCTTGATATAACTGTAACCACTGATGAACATATTCAGTTTTGATGAGAGAAAAAAATATGTACGAGTGCGGATTAGAACCCGTACCTCTGAAACGCATGGCAAAAGATCTCCCACTAGACCATTGAAGAACTCGAACGTAATTTGCGGATCAATGGATTTATTTAGGGGTTGAGCAGAGGCAGCACAGTTTGACAAGCGGCCGCGGCATGGTACACACATTGCAGATTGCTAATGAATTATTTTTTCACACACCTTGTAGAATTGCCAGACCGGTGAAGCCATTTTTACCAGGGCTTAAAAAAATTGTCTCGCGAGTTTTGCGTCATCTGATCGGCTTTTCTGGATCCGCCTTTATAGAGACCGCCGATCACACATCCCAAAGCAATTATCGGCCGATTATGATCGGCGACCGATCAATCGGAGCACCCTTACATAATATCGATCAATCAGTGTTTTTCAACCACGGAAAGAGGTCAATAAAACAGCAGGAGAACAATTATGTCACAGAACGTTACATTTATCTCAGGAAAGCCATTTAATGACCAGCACGTTAGTTGACTAAAAAAAATAGCTATAGAGAGGAGTATTTAGCTAAATATGTGCACTATATTACCTATTTATTATACATTTACTTGTGTCATTATATAATTGTTATTATAATGAAAACCGCATTATATTTCATTTCTCTCTATGTTTACAGCATTATGTGAGAAATTTTTTCTTGAGAAAAATTAACATGCAAGCTATCTACTGTAGCCTACCTAATATTTATCCAAATGAGTCAATATTGAATCAAGATTGAAATCAAATCCAAGAATTGAAATCGTGAAAATTGTGTTTTAGCCTCCCAGTCATTGTACATGTAAACATTGTAACATGTTGTCACCCAACTTAATAAAATTCTGTTTAGTTACCAAATGTTTTGACAATCACAATTACACTGTGATGCAAGTTGTTTTTTTTTAGATACCCCCAATCCATCCGTTTCTCTTGTGCAATTAAAATATCGTGCTAATACCGTATACCGTGATAAAAGCTTAATCAATTAATCGCAGCATGAAAATTTGATACCGGCACCTAAACATTAGCAACAAATTTTTAGCTGTTAGATAACGTAGTCAAGGAAAAGGCTAATCATATTAATTACCGTATTAATTAATTAATCATATTAATGTGTCGGATGTTGTAGAGAGCGATACATAAACCGCATTGCCATTCTGATACATCGACTTCTAGAAGAGCCTGTAAAATTCACTCTTCCACTTCTTCAGAATCCGTTTCTGGTTCAAACATATATGGCAGTATTTCCACTTGCCATTGTGCAGCGTTTACTGCAGTTAAGTTGACTGAGTGGATCTCTGAGCTGCTGTGAGTGAGTGGAGGCGGGGCTAATTTGCATATTCATGGTTCTGCGTATACTAAATGAAGCAAGTGTGTAGAGATACATTCAAGCTATTTTAAGGCATGAGGATTTTTTTTTTCACATGAAAAAAAAACATTTATTTGGTGATCAAAGATGAGTTTTTAGGGATAAAATTATTGATTACAGGGGGACTTTAACAAAATAGATAGGAAATGGCTCACCATGCTTTGTGGATGGGTCATGGTGTGCTGTGGCTGCGGATCAGTCTGTACGGTGCTGAAAGATGTGCCTGGCTGGGCAGGGTGAGTCTCAGGGACAGTCACTGAACCTTGAGGGTCCACAAAACCTACAGCTGCGAAACATTCGTATATTACATTATTTTTCATCATAAATGTCTGGTGAGTGTCCAATACATTAGTTTTTAAGTGCTGTTTGTTATACTGTATATTTATTTTTCTTGCCTTTACATATTTTGTAAAATGCTTTGGCAATGTTGTATGTAAACGCAATTATGTCAATAAAGTACTTTAAATTGAAATAAGATAAAATGACAGTTTTGCAACTAACTGGAAGCAGAAGCGCCAGACTGCTGCAGTTGCTGGTGCTGGTCTGCTTCTGGTTCCTCAGACTCTATGATGACTAAGGCCAGACCGGGACCAGGGGGCTTGGCTGTGGGGTTAGTATCTGGTCCAGGCTGTGAGGGATCATTCTCCTGCTCCATCTTCCTTTTTTCTTGTTCCTCTCTCACAAGTTTTCTCTGCTCTCTCTTACGGGAGATCAGGGAAACTCTGTCCTTAATGGCCTTTGCGATGGTCTTGTGGTCTCCCTCGCAAACATAGCCCGAGTCGACCTGGAGGAAAAAAATACACATAATTCAACTTCAAGGATAACGATTAGTCATTATTATAGGCGACCTGGGGGGATTTTATGTACTGTATTATGTACAAGTCTGTGGAATTACTATAAATATTGATAATTGCATGGAAGTCCACAAATTAACCGTTTGAATCTTGAGTTAGGTAACAGAACAGAAACCCAAGTATCTTTACCATTTCTTGGGCAACATCATCTGGGACATCTTTACTCAAGTCAAAGGAGAACTCAATGGCTTCATTCTCTTTGTATTTTCCTTTAAGTTTCTTTACATCCTCAATGCGCAGCAACAACTTTATGGCCACCAGCTCTCCATCATCCTCCTCAGCCAGTTCTACACGAACCCCAGTCTCTTCCTGGAAAAAGGCATGACTTAGGAGGTCCTTGATGCAATACCTAAAAAAAGAAAGAAAATGGAGATGAATCTATAAAACACACAAAATCTAATTTAAAACTTAGGACATCCACAAATAACATTAATAACGCATCTCCATACAGAACTAACCTATGCAATCTCAAAATAAATCATGTATCTTAGATTCTATTACCTAATTAAACAAGCTGGGAGCACACGTTAAAAAGCAAGTTTAAAAAACTTGTTTTATTAAATACATGCATGTATTTTATTCAATATATACATGTGTAGATTACATTACAAATGTTATCGGCCAACTGGCTATTGGCACCGGCGAGTGCTAATTTTAGGCCCTGCTTTAAGACATTGTGACAACTACACTCATGTTCTGTGAATGTCAGCCCACCTCTCATCTTTATTCTGACGTATGCAACCCTCAATGATCTCCTTCACTTCAGGAATAGCCACTTTGTCAAAACTGCCAGGCTTCACCCCCTGTAAACACGGCACAGGAAACAATCATATTACACATATGTAGAAAGATGGCTTTAAAGGGGTCATGAATTGAGAAGTCAAATTTTACTTGATTTTTCGACATATAAGAGGTCATTGTACTATAAAAAAATTCTGTAAGTTTAAGAACTCAAAACTTCATTGTTATTCCAAAAACAGCTTTTATATAAACCAAGAACAGAAAACGACTTGTTTCAGATTTTGTCACATTATTACATCAAAGTGCAATGAAAGACCACCTCTGCAGAAGATCAATGGCTACTTCTACGATCGCCTCTTTAGCCCCCCTTTTTTTTTTGATTTGCTGTTCTTTCCTTTGCTTAGGCATTTATGGGGTTAATGCGTTGGATTATTATCGGAAATGGAAGAAAGCATGTAAAGAATGCTGCTTTTGTTATTGTTTTGATCAAAGCCATTCACTGTAATCCTAAATATAAGCTTCAGTGAGTGAGACCTTGTTTGACATCAGTAAGATATTACAACACGTTTCATTTTATTTAAAACGGCAACCGACAATGCATACGTTTTTTACTTTATCGAAAAGGATGAACTATGAATAGCCTATAAGAACGACAGTGTGACAAACAATGGTACATTCATAATTCGGTTTACAACAAACACCGTAAGTTATCATTTGTCAATTACAACCAAGACTTCTAAAGCATATGTAATACGCATAAATGTTCCAAATTGTTGGCAAATTCTTCAACTATGTAACAAGATATTTTTCAACATCGGACGTTTTCTAAACAATTCCACCCATGTAATAGCAAGGACATTGAAAATTATATTAATATGCAAAACTGTTACCCATCATAGAAGTGGGCATTTACTTCCAACTGTTGAATGCCTGTTAAAACGGAGTGTTTTAAAAAGAGGGTCAAAAACAGGATAAAAAATAGCTTATTACTTCTAAATTAGGATTTTTTTTTTTGTAAAAATAGATAAGATTATAAGTGGACCTCAGTGAACTAATAATAATAAATATTTTAATATATATATATATATATATATATATATACACACACACACACACACAAATAAAGCAGTTTATGACCCCTTTAACTTGAGGCTGGATTTTCTCAAGGCTTCTACATTTGAATCACTAAAACTAAATTTTGCATATATTTCTGTCTGGTACCATTTACCATTTTGTTTCATATTGTATTGGTTTTGTGAGAGGTCATGACTTAAGCATTTACTGGTAGAGGTAAAAAACCAACTTACCACTGTGTGAGAAAAAAGCAGAAAGGAAACACCCCCACAGAGGGCAAAAAAGGGATAAAAAGACTAAAATAGTGCAGCAAACAAGGGGGAGGATGAGTGTGCGGGGGCTCTCTCCTCCGCCAGTGAAGTGTGGACTTACGCTGGTGACTCTGCGATAGATCTGAGCTGCATTCTGACACTCGGAGTACGGGTACTCAGAAGTAGCCATCTCCAGCATACACATCCCAAAGGCATACACATCCACCGACTCGTCATACTTCTCCTCATACATCTCAGGCGCCATGAACTCAGGGGTACCTTAAATTAAAAGAATGGTTCAGAACTCTCTCAGTACCCTATTACACCCTCTCAGTGAAGAGGTGAGAGGAAGATGATGCTGTCGCTGAAGACCGCTCGGGCACAACCTGCGAGAAAAGAGAGAGGTAGAGGGAAGGAGAGCAAAAAGGGGATAGAAAAGTAAAAAGAAAAAAAAAGAAAAGGGGGAAACTGTCCTCAGTTAGACCGCAGTGATAAGAAGCCCAAGTTTCTCCATGTAAGACCTTCAAGGGCAGGAATGAGTTAGAGAAAAAACAGACTGGTGCACAGGACTCACTCAAAGGCCTGGACTGACTACATGACTCTAAACAAGGTAGCCTGAATTCAAACAATCAATGTATTTGTAGATGTTAGCCCAAACTGGATGTTAAAATGAGTCCATGGTCAGAGGGCCTTATGCTTTTAATCACAAGACCAAACCGAAGAACTAGCTATAGAAAACATAAACCTTTCAAAAACGTCCTACCTTTGGGTTAACCTGTGAAGAAAAGGTTGAGCATTTCAAATGTTACACACTCCAAAGCTTACTGAAAAGTGAAGTTCTGTGCACCAGGCAAACTAGTCACCAAGTTACCCATTGACAAAGGTCTCACACGGACAAACTTCCCATATTTATAATGGATTCAGACTGATGTGTCACATAATACTGGTGGACTTACCAGGCTCATTTCTGCGTACTTACTGTCTGTACTGCAGTACATTAAATAATCCTTAAAGTAGAATAAGGGGAGACCTGAAGTTAGAGCCTAAGGCTTCCAAAACAAAACAAAAACACAAAGATCTCAAAGCTAAAAGTATGAGGGAGATGAGCAGAGAGTTTAAGGCTTTGAGCTCCAGACACTGACACACTGAAAGAAAACAAGCATTTCCTTGTGGGGGGAAAAAATGAACAGATTCATTAGCATCATCATCATTAAATCATGGTTGACTGAAGAAACAGACCACAAATTTCCAAACCAGAGCAAAGATCACTCACGGTACCTGCCAGCCCAGGGCTCAGCTCTAGCTCTAGTGTTATTCCATGATCAGATCAGGTTTCCCTGCAGACGAGTCACAATATACCTACAACCGCTCCACAACTACTTGCACTGTCTGAGGGTACCTGAAATTGTGACAATGAAGACAGAAGACCAGAGAAAAACTACATTTAAACTAAAGGAGGGTGTCAAGAGACAACTTCCATAAAGCGGGAGCCCTGGTTTGCTGCGGTTCGATCGGTCAGGGAAACGCTGTGGTCTGCTTTCTCACCACTGTTATTAAAACGCGCTTTGAAAAGAAGCAGAGGAAGAAAAGAAACACGGAATGAAGGATTTGCTTTTCCCCCAACCACAAATCTGAGTCGGCCAATTCAAATGGATTTGGAGGCGGTAACACAGTTGCAAATACTTAGCCGTACCTATGACACTCTTGGCAAAGGAGGCTCTCTTGAGGGTAGCCAAGCCCAAGTCTCCAATCTTGACTGATCCAGTAGGTCCAGTGATGAAAATGTTGTCACACTTGAGGTCCCGGTGGATGATGGGAGGTGACCTGGTATGAAGGAAGTGCAGCCCCTTCAGAATCTGCCGGCACCAACTGCGCAGGACTTTGATCTTCATCTCCTTAAACCGTTTTAGATACCTACAAGGGCACCGAAAACAAGTCAATCATAGCAAGTGGGCTCTGAGACAAACATGGTAAAAAAAAAAAAAAAAAAAGAGAACATGACAGGAACAAATTAAAGCACTTACGTCTTGAGAGTTCCAGATGTCATGAGTTCAGTCACCAGGACAATACACTTCCTCCCTTTCAAAGATGACTCCCAGGAGTCGTAGAAGCGTACTATGTTGGGATGCTGAAGACCTTTCAGCATTCCAGCTTCCTCTTTAAAACGCTGCCGCTCTGACTTGGATAACTTGCGATCCTGAAAAAGATTGTCATATTTTACAATATTAACTTTGTCAGCAAAATTTCACTGAAATCTACATAGGGACATATTTCGCTTTTACGTGATTGCACAGATTCATATTGAAATGAGTGAATTTTGCCCAGAAACATTCAATTTGACCACATCTTCAATCATCAATCGTGTCACTGGAGATCTAACTAACTGCAGAGATCCTGATCCAAAACACCTGACTGTAATTATCAATGCTCCTGAAGACCTTTATTAGCTGGTTCAGTTGTGTTTGACTAGGGTTGGAGCTGAACTTTGCAGGAAAGTAGATATCCAGGAACAGGATTGGGCACCCGTCTTAAATAAAAAAAAAATTCCACTTGCGAGAAGGGAAAACTGATCAACATTAATGGCAGAAAAAATTACTTCTGCGAAATTTTTTATTTAACACTAGGAGAACTAAAAAAAAATATTTTCATTATAATATAATTTATGTGCATCACATTTTATTCAAAATATTTTATATATTAAACCAGGGCTCAACATAAAAAAAAATCCCCACTGGCCCCCGGGGCCAGTAGATCAGAGTTCCAAGGCGGTCATTTTGACATATTTTTGTGTATATTTGATCGTTTAGACGCGCACATGAAGCCCAATGTGTAATTTGCTTGTCTCGTTACGGTATGTTTCGGAGCGCGCGCCGCATTTGGAACAGCATCTCTTGCGCAGATTTTTGTGCTTTTAATAGCTCTTTTTATTATTAAACGCGTCCCGCAATTTAGCAACAGTAGAGACTGCATTTTACAACAATCGCCGATCGTGCTGATTCGGTCTTAAAGTTTTAGTTTTAAGGTGAAATGGCAGCGTACTGCTGCGATGGGAAGGAAGTTGCGCTAGACAGAATGCGGCTAGTTTTTAATGGTTTTACCTCAAATATTCTATAATCTTTGGAAGCCGAAATCTAAAATAAAATCAGAGTAATATCACAGATCTAAAGTGTGCTACGTTTTAATGTTTAGTTCTGTCCTCTGCTCTGTGGTCACTCATTAAGCTGGGCTGTCGTGCTGTGCGCACTGTGGCACCGCGTGAGAGATCTCTCTCTATGGTTTAATATTAATATATCCAGAAATGGCTGGTGACTCAGCGAGATGGTAAAAAACAACCAATAACGTCTGATCACCCCGTCTACGTGTATTTCTCCAGTAGCTACCGACAGCAGAGCCAATAACGTCCGAGCTTATCGATACAACGGTCTTTCAAAATTCAGCCCCCAGCTCGTTTAATACCGGGTTTCGGTACCCATCCCTACCAGTGTAGGCCCTACTGTGTTTTCCATGACACTGGGAATGTCCTCTTTCTCGTATCAGCCTCGTAGTTCTTTGACATTTTAACACGTTAAAATAACCTGAAGTAACACTAATGGTGTGTTCACACCGAACGCGAATTTAATTATTTGCGCGCGTAGATTTCATACAAAGTCAATGCAAAGACGCGAATAGACGCATCATTCGCGCCGGGCGTTGCGAATGACGCGAATTGGGCGACGCGTTTGCCGCGAATGTCTTCCGCGCAAGTTGAAAAATTTGAACTCGAGCGAATGTTCAAGCGTCTAACTAGACGCGATAGACGCGTATTTGACGCTCTATTCTCGTTCGGTGTGAACACACCATTACACTCTTCGCGCCACTGTGTATGACGTTTGCTGTTTGTTTTGCTGATGGCCAGTCACTGGCCCGCGCGGGCCAGTGACTGGCCAATCAACTTGCCCGACATACTCTTTTACTGGCCCCAGGCCATCGGGCCATTGCTTATGTCGAGCCCTGATTAAACCTCTGAACTTGAAATGAATGATAAATAAGTGCCAAAGCAGTTGATAAGAAAAGTTTGACCATTTCTTTATTATTTAATTTAAATAGACATAAACCAGATTTGATTCACCTTTCTTATAAAACACCAGCATCCCTTATCTGCTTTAAGCATGTTCAACACCTCTTTAACTTTTCTTTGATGTAAAAAAAGAAAAGAAAAAAAAAGATTTCTGTCTTGAATTATGGTTTCACAGAGGGGGAAAAACTGCTACGGCAAAAACCTCATTCGCAGTCAAAGTAGATGGTGCAGCACTAATAATATCATCTACAATGAAACTGCAAAGTACTTGCCTCAAACCCAGTCCAGCAAGTAGATAGAACTGCTGTGTGTACGACTACAGTTAAAACAATGCACACAATTCAAATGGCATTTCTTGGTTGACCTACATTTGGTGTGGTCAGCTGCCATTTCTAGAATGAGAAACATTTAGCTGTGAGTTTGCCTTTGTCAAGCCCAGCAGGGACGGCCATTCACCCTAAGCTAGGGTTAAAACTTCAACTAACACAATTTGAGGTCTTTTTTACAACGTCTTAACAGGGTGAAGCCCGGTAGAAAGCCAATTCAGTGCCGATTGATGCGGGTTAGAGGAAGGGGGACTCCGCTTTGCACCCCACCCTATGACAAACCTACTTTCTCTCTCTTTCTCTTTGGCTATTCCAAACATGTGGTGCACGGCCTGTAGAACAAGGCCAGCTAAGCGTGGGAGCGTTTCCCCAGAGAAGGGGCGGACCGCACACTGAACTCCAGCATGAGGATAAAACTCCTGGCATGAATCTGACTCACGTGCAAGGGCACATACCACTTCAGGCAGAGGATAAGGAATTAGGATTAGTGAGATGATCTGAAACACAAATTACTAGTGCTGTCAACCGAGAGGGAAAAAACTAAAAAAGAAAAACTTCTTAAGTTACCGTACTTCTTATTCGCACCTAACATTAAAGTTTTTAATACACTTTTTATATTGTAATATTTTCACATTGTATCTACAAAATAATTTGGGAACAACATTAAGACGTTATACTTTAAACATTTGTTTAATAGCATCTTTTTACTAGTAAGCACTATAAATAAAAGGCCAGTATCACCGATACCAGTACTGATACTGATGTCTCTATTAGATGGATTTTTTTCTCTTAATTTTAGCCATTATAGCCATTCAACATTGCAGTATAATTGAGAGATATCAATTTGAACATTTATGGTAATAAGCTTTAAAAACATAACTTTTAATTTCAGTGAACTTAAAACAATCTTCACATAAACCCATTGTAATAAATATCACATTTAGCTGTGCCATTAATATATCAGGGCTCAACGCCAAGTTTTTTTTTTCCCAGGTTCAGATTTTTAACTGCCCTGCTAAAATCCACAAAAAAGTTAGCCTATTGTTTTTGACCCATGTAACCTTGTAAACAGTGCTTTAAGGTTTTCAGGTACTGAAGGTCTAACGGGTAAATACATATACAGAAACTGAATCAATCACTCACAATCTTCACTGCATAAATTATCAATTTAATATAGATTCTTATTAAAGCTACAAAAGTCATTCAGTAAAGAGCAGTAAGTGATTTTCTCTTTGTCTTTAGTTCGCAGTTTAAGACATGGCACACATAACGTGGATCTGACATCCTATTTTCTCACAACTCCTTACGCTCATTTAACACTTTTTAGCAAAAAGACTGTGCTTATGAGGATACTCAACAAAAAGGGAATTTTTAAAGTTTAGTGTGTTGTCTGTTCAAGCACGAAAGACAACTCAATGCGGCACTGGTGAACTGTCTGAAGTGGCATTCTGTGAGTCTGTTTCAGGTGTTTGGTTACAGAGAGCCCCTTGAGCAGACAGCGCGCAAATACAGATGAGTTTTTTTTGGGGGCGTCTTATTGTACTTGAATGGTTTAATAGCACTTGAATAAATGATAGCATGATCATATACTGTAGTGCAGGGAAAGGATAACAAAAAAAAAGTGGATTCTGCATTAATTGCATTAAATATTTTTAACGCATTAAATTGAAGAAAAAAAAAAAACAAATAAATAAAACATTAATTTTGACAGCCCTACAAATTACCTAGAAATCCATTTAACAATTACACTGAACAAAATTATAAACGCATCACTTTTGTTTTTGCCCCCATTTTTCATGAGCTGAACTCAAAGATCTAAGACTTTTTCTATGTACATAAAAGGCCTTCAGAGTGGCCTTTTATTGTGGCCAGCCTAAGGCACACCTGTGCAATAATAATGCTGTCTAATCAGCATCTTGATATGCCACACCTGTGAGGTGGATGCAATCTCGGCAAAGGAGAAGTGCTCACTAACACAGATTTAGACAGATTTGTGAACAATATTTGAGAGAAATAGGCCTTTTGTGCACATAGAAAAAGTCTCAATTCAGCTCATGAAAAATGGGGGCAAAAACAAAAGTGTTGCGTTTATAATTTTGCTCAGTGTAATTAAACTGACAGCGTAGTTTAGTAGGTTGGGATAGAGTGCAGAGATCTGACTGCTTATAAGGGGTCGCACAGGGAGATCATTCATTCACTCATCTATAAACCTGTATTGTTAATCAGTGATCTCATGGGGGTCACATGCTTCATGAACATTTTTTGTTAGAATCTGCATGGGCTTATTTCCCATCTAAAATGACTATAATGTTACATTAAGGAAGTAAAAAAAGAAGTCTAAATGTTTGGGGCCAGTAAGATTTTGTTTTTGAAAGAAGTCCCTTATGCTCATCAGGGATATTAGCTAAAAAAAAAATACACTTAATTTGTATATCATTTAAAATAAAATAGTTGTTTTCTATTTTAATATATATTTTTAAATTAATTCTTTCCTGTAATGCGAAGCTGAATGTTGATTGAAGGGAAAAACCCGTATGTTGTTCCACACCTGTCTAAGTTTCTTTGTTCTGTTGAACACGAAAATATATTTTAAAGAATGTTGGACAGCTGATGGTAGCCATTGACTTCCATAGTATTTTTTTTAGCCGCCAACTGTTTGATTACCAACATTCCTTTAAATATCTTCTTTTGTGTTCAGCAGAAGAAAGAAAGTCATACAGGTTCGGAAACAACATAAGTGTGAGTAAGTGATCACAGAATTGTCATTTTTGGGTGAACTATCCCTTTAATATTTTGTGGAAACTGTGATATCCG